AAAGCCGTGAAAGAAACCCTTTAATGAGGGGTCCCGGACGAAGAGTACACAGTGCAGTTAAACCTCTATGTAACTAACTTTTTTTTTCTTTTTCATTGAAGTCCTTGATAGTAAACGATTTCTACATCAGAAATCGTAAAAAAATTTAAAACAACCTCGATACAACGAAACCTTGCTATAGCGAACATATTTTGCCAATCTCTTAGCCGATCATTTTATCTAGGTTCTACTATACTGGCTCTGGCTTGTTTTATTAGATACACTAACTAACTAACTAACTTAAAGGAGCTATGTCACGGCAGTCCAGTTCATTTTTTTCAATATTTTCAATTACTCGCCCTCAATCGCTATGGAACTTAAAGTAAGCAAAGAAATTACGTGTAAATGACAAAGTCATAGACTCGGGACAAACAAATATGTCTTCTGGGCATTATTTTTGAAGTTGCAAACAGCAGAGATAAACTTTAAAAAACTGTTAGGCTGAACAGTTTTCAGAAACCGTAATTTCAATCCGTTTCAATCTTCTTCAGTTTGCCCATTCGTGGCATATGTTGTATCTGTTGTGTTATTTTGACCTTCCTTTAATGTTTTAAACGGTTATTTTTATCTCTTGGATTTAACGGGCATTTTGTAATCCCTAATTTGGCTGAATTTCGTGACACAGCCCCTTTAACATAGACGTCTATCTTATTCTCTGGTTTCTTTCTTAGACATGAACAACTGCTCCAAAGTATGCAACAACTTAACACGAAAAAAGCCCACCGAGGACTGGTTGGCGGAAACCCCCCTTAAAAGATGTCTTCACACACTAGACCTCACCTCTATAGGGGTGGGCACTATAGTGGGTGCAGGGTTGTATGTAGTTACAGGAGAATTGGCACGTGATGTCGCAGGACCAGCGGTTGTTCTCTCCTTCTTTATTGCTGGAATAGCCGCCTTCTTTTCAGGAATTTGCTATGCAGAGTTTGGCTGTCGTATACCCAAGGCTGGATCGGCTTATGTATACACGTACGTTGCTGTTGGGGAGTTCTGGGCGTTCGTTGTGGGCTGGAATATGATTCTAGAGTATATCATCGCGGCAGCAAGTGTGGCTCGCGCGTGCAGCGAGTACATCAACTCCTTTGCTCAAGGCTATATATACAAGTTCTTCATGGAGGACATCGCGACATGGAACGTTTCGGCTCTTGGAAGCTTCCCCGATCTCCTGGCCATGGCGCTGGCCCTGATTTTTACCGGCATAGTCTCGCTGGGTGCACACAAATCGTCTCTGGTTAACAAATTCATGACTTTTATAAACCTTTCTGTCATCGTTTTCATCATCATTGCTGGGTTATATTTTGTCGATGGGAGGAACTGGCAAACCAAATTTGCTCCTTATGGTGCAAGTGGAGTGCTGACTGCTGCCGGAAGTTGTTTTTATGCCTTTGTCGGATTTGATGTCATAGGTACGGCGGGCGAAGAGGCTGTCAATCCCAAGCGTTCAATACCATTATCAATAATCTTGTGTCTTGCCATTAGTTTTCTATCCTACTTTGGTGTCGCCACAGTTCTTACTCTCATATTGCCTTATCGTCAACTCAGCCGGTTCGCTCCTCTGGCAGAGGCCTTCGCCCAACGAGGATTCAGTGGCGCCAAGTACGTCGTGGCGACTGGAGGGTTGTTCGCAACAATGAGTACACTTCTGTCCAACTCGTTCGCGGCCCCACGAGTGGTGTACTCGATGGCCTCCGATGGTTTGTTGTTCAATTGGTTTGGGCATGTGAATGACAAGACAAAAGTTCCCGTTCGCGCTGCTTTGGTTAACGGAATTTTGATTGCAATATTAGCATTACTTCTGGACGTCAAGCAATTGGTAAGCTTCTAAAATCTGAGTTTTTAACTAGCCTATCAAAAGTCGAAGGTCCGCAATAGGTTTTTCAGGATCGGGGAGTTAACCATCAGGGCCGAGTTGTTCAAAGCTGGGTTAAGATAACCCAGGGTTAGTGAGAGATTTGAATTCAAATTTGAAAGCTTAAGAAGCATTTCAGTTTGAATTCTTTTGATCTACAAGTTAATGATTGGAAGCTCTAAAAATAACAGAGAAAATTATCCGAGAAAATACTTTTGAACACAAGAAAAAGAAACGCGGGTTAAATTTAACCCCGGGTTAAGCGCTAATCGGCCTTCGAACAACCGGGTGCAGGATTAAAGGATTGCACGAAATTTTGGGTCGGGATTATTTTTATCATTGTTATTGTCATTATTATTACTATTATTGTTATTATTATCATTATCATTATCATTATCATTATTATTATTATCATTATTATTATTATTATTATTATTATTTAATTGCAATAATTCAAGATAAGAAATAATTAGCATCTGCTAACTTGGCCCTCTTATATTTGCTAAGATCTTCATCATTATTGCGATCACTACCCAAAATCAAATTTGCATTTGGCCGAGCCTATTCGGTCTTTTGAAGGTTTTCAGTGAGCTGCTCACTGGATCCACTCGATCCATCTGCGAAATACTTATACCACACATATGAAAAAAGGAGAGGGAAAATAGAATTTTAACACTGCTTTTGCGAAGAACACTATCAGATATAAAGATTTCAAAGTTTTTAGGTCCATAATTATAGATTGCGGTATGGTAGATTATGGCGCTATTTGTCAAAATTACTAGGTTGAGATGTTGTCCATTGGCACATTGGTAGCTTACACGATGGTAGCAATTGCTGTACTCGTAACTCGTTACACACCTGGAGTGCAGAGCGTCACACTGGAAAAGAATGGAACCAGCGAGAAGACCGCCAAATGGCTGAAAACGATATGCTGCCGGCCTGGAGAAACAGAAGGGAAAGATGGCGGTCTCACAGGTGTTAGCTACCAACAAGTGGAAAGCAACGACGGAGACGAATTGTCGGAGGAAAGAACACCGGACGAGACTACAAGCTTCCGGGTTCGCGTCGCTACATTTGTCCTGACTTTATCCATAACTGCTTTAGCAATTTCCTTCACTAGAAGTTATTCTTACTGGGCTCAAGGAGATGCCTGGGCAATTCTCCTGTGCTGTATTTTTGGTCTGATGATCATTGCGTCGTTGATGTTTATCATTCGGCAGCCAAAAAATTCCGCCACTTTCCCGTTCATGGTTCCAGGGGTCCCTATCATTCCAGCAATTACGATATTTTTCAATATTCTTCTGGTGGTGACGTTAGATCACTGGACTTACATACGATTCGGCGTGTGGATGATCTTAGGTAAGAAAACCCCCAATGCGCTATGTATTTACTACAGTTGAAACCTTCATTAAGCGGCCACCCTCTTGGTAACGACAAGTAGTTAATGGAGGTTGGCCGCTCAGTAGAGGTTCGTCACAAATTAGGATAATCTTTCACAGAAACATCACTTATTTTAATACTAACAGGTGACGAGAGCAGCTTTACTGTTCCGCAGTCAGTTGTTGCCTTCTATCTCGGACTTTATTTTCCGTCATCATATTCTTAAAATAATGCCAAACTAAGTTTATCGAGCCCTTGATGGCCGCTTAAAGGAGCTGAGTCACGAAATTCAGCCTAATTAGGTAATTACAAAATGCCCATTAAATCAAGAGAAACGTAGAAATAACCGCTTAAAACATTAAGGGAAGGTTAAACACAACAGATGCCACGGATGGGCAAAACTGAAGAAGATTTAAACGAATTGAAATTAGGGTTTTTGAAAACTGCTTAGCCTGACAGTTTTTTAAAGTTGATCTCTGCTGTTTGCAACTTCAAAAATAATGCTTAGGAGACATATCTGTCTGTCTTGAATCTCTGATTTTCTCATTTACATGTAATTTCTTTCCTTACTTTAAGTTCCATAGCGACACAGCTCCTTTAATAGAGGTGAAAACAATGGAGGAACTCTTCTTAACACGGCAAAATGGAGGCCGCGGCCGCTTAATTGAGGGTGGCCGTTTAATGGAGGTTCAACTGTATTATCACTTTTATCATCATCATCATCATCATCATCATCGTCGTTATTATTTCCATTATTTATTTAAAAATTTATTTAAAAAGTTGAATGGGGCTGAGAATGATTATATGAAAAATTATGGAGATTGATAAGGGGTTTTCCTTCGAGGGCGGAGGTAAAATGCCATCAGTATTGCGAGATATCGCTAGAAAAAAACAATGCAACCGAGATACTCTACCAGGTTGTGTTAGCTCATTGTACGTTTCTGGGAAACTGTCCACCGACCCCTCCCCTTTGCCAACATTAACACTTACTTCTGACTTAGGGCAAAATGTTGGTTTAGGGGAGGGGTAGATGGGCAGTTTCCCAGCAACGTATAATGATCCGAATTATTTAGCCTGGATATTAAAACAATTAGTAACATCATCTGTACAATTATATGCAGGTCTCGGAGGGTGTTATTCGTCTCGGCCGATCGATAACACCCTCCATTGAGCGAAATCTGTTTTATTATCCTGTTCAGTTTTAGCAATGCTCTTTTTGACTTTTGGTTTTCCATAGGTCTCCTTGTGTACTTCTGCTATGGTTACAGTCACAGCGTGGAAGCCGTCAAACCTTCTGAAAGATCAGAAACTCCGTTCATTCGATCGACAATGCCAGATTTCGGAACAGAATTTAAAGAGTATCCATCACCTCGATGAATATCTAAATTTGAAGAAGCAAAGTGCATGCCTTAAATCGCCACTCAATAAACTACAGTAGCTATAGAGAATGGATACAGATTTTTGTAACGTTTGGGTCGAAAAGAGGTAGTTATGACTGGACAAGGCCATGCCAAGTAACTAATCATCCATTACCCGAACAACCCCCCCGCCCCCACCCCCCGCCTGTACCCATTCTCGCAGAAGTGGCAAATCAGTGAAAAATAGAAATAAGCATTGTGACACAGCCTCTCCACAGGAGTTTTTCATTTCATGTTTTGGAGTGCAAAGCTTTCTCCATCTCCAGCCACCTTTCGCTTGCAATTTATAAATCCCCCTTTATTTTTATTTTTATACGTGCCCTCCACGATCTTCAAAGAGAAAATTGAGGGTTTGTGAACAGACTATGTGATACAGCGAGATGGAATACAGTCAACACTCTCTAAGATGGACCCCGAGGGTTGGGATAGTTATTTGTGCCCAGGATCACTAAGGCCTAGGCCAAACGTCGATGACCTTTTCATGAGACGAACCAAACTTTAATTTGGGTCGACCTCAATTGACTTAAGATCGTCTGTTGGAACAGATGTAGAACTTAGAGGCATCGAACCAATCAGCTGAATCAGACCAAAAAGCAATATTTTAATACATTTTCTCCCGAAGGAGGCTAGATATTCATTATCATGCATATTTTTAATACGTTTGTCCCGGGGACGATCTTCAGACGTTTTATCCGTCTGAAGCAGTTTGGACATTCAGACGAACACGGCTTAACTGAGCCGGAAGTCGAACTTTTCATCACTAGTTAATATAACTTACTAAGTTTGGTACGTCCAATGAAAAGTTCGCGGACGTTCGGCCCACACCTTACAGCTACAATACTCGTCACAAATCGTTGAAACAGGAGCCATTTGTCTTGAATTTTCTCCAAATTTCTTACATTCACTCCTGACACCTTCGTTCTCACTTACGTTTGCCCCTCTCCTTCCCCAATATTGAGCCACGCGTATTTTGGAGCAGTGAGACGACTGTAATACCCAAATCAACACTGGGGAAGGGAAAAATCACACAAGTGTTTCAAGATTTGTGACGAGTATTGTAGCCTTACTCTCTTGGGTTAATCAGTGGTTAATTAGCCGACAGGCAAGAAAAATAAATTACTTAGGACTGACAAGGAAACATATACCTCTTTGCCGATGTCGATGTTAAAATCGATGTACGTGCCATAGAAGGTGTCAATTTAGAGAGAAGGTGCATTGTACAAACAGGCGTCAAGTCTGAAAGAACATGAAAAGGAAGTGAAAATGAAGGGCAACTGTCGCGAGAGTCCCTGTAAACTTATTTCTGTTTAACACGCAATTTACAAAGGGAAATCTGCAAATCAGAATCAGCGCTTTAAGTAAGAAATATGGATATGAATGGAATGATGTTTTATTTTTTTACAAATGCTATTTATTGTGTTATACCAAATGTGCTTATTGAGGGACGTTCATCGCTCTCCCGAGATGTTGGAAAGCAATTTTCTCGTACTCTTTTGCAATTCTGAAAATTTGGACAGAAAGCTTTCTAGTCCGGTTGGCACTTACATAGTAACCGTGGAAGGCGAAACTTAGCTTGTCAATTGACTCATACAAATCGCGGTTCATTCTTATTATTGAAATCCCCTAGTTGCCAGATCAGTGTTTCACAGCAACCTTTTTTACAACAGGCAGAATCAAGCTAAAATCGAATTATCGTAAGACATAAACAAATTGCCTTAAGAAAATTAGAAAACTTTAGAATAGGAATGAAGAATCTAAAGGCTGAGAGTATAAAATATTTGGTGTTAAGTCTTAGTGCTTTAAACTGAAATAAAGCCAAAAAATGGAACTGAGTATAACGTACGTGGTATTGGACTAGAGGTTTCAGCTCTCTCCGGCCACAGAGGCTCCCGATGACTGCTATAATCGAAAAAACGAAAGACGCGCCCCCTGCTACCCTTCTTTTTTTTCCACCCTCCCCCGGTCTCCGGAGCGAAAGAGAGAAAGGGGAAGGGTAGCAGGGGGTACGCGAGAAAAAAAAGGAAGAGGGATAGGAGAGGGGTAGGGTTCAATCGGGCATTTCAATTTTTACAACAAGAAAAGCAAAGCACTGCCAACGATAAATGGAGAACGTTTTACATTGTTTTGTACGCATCTCTAATGACACCATGTGACGGTGTTACTCAAGTTCTAGCAGTGGTTTAACCCAGCCACAATATCTACATACGAGTTATCTAGACTGATCTCCATGCATTTATTTCCTTAAAGAATTTTCTCAGAGAAAAGATTAAAGCATTCTTCATTTAGTGCTTGTTAATTCTCATAACTTTTCTCTTGTTCATGGTTTTCAAAAATACTGTTAAGAAAAATTGATGTAGTCACTCTTTAAAGATATGTGTAATTAGTCGCAGGTACAAGTTCACTACAACTTGAAAACCGTGGTGGCCGTTCGAAATCTCAATTTTTTAAGCCGGTTCTATCTGAGAACCTCATTTATGATATTATCGCGTATGCAAGCATTTGAGAGCCAAAAGCGGATTCACGCGCGTCGCGTTCACTCGCGCGTGAACACGATCCACTCACAATTCACGTGCCTCTTTTGAAAGCCCTCGGCTGGTTACAAGTGTTCGTGATCCCTCATAATACAATATTGTACAGTCAAAATTTACTGTAAATTGAAACATTTACTTATAAAGTTTTCTTACAGCCCCTTTCATTCAACTTTCTTTCCGCAGACTTCTCTGAGGAGATGGAGCGAAGACAATTTCTAAAAAATTACTTTCACTTCCTCAGAATTATTTGGTCTTATTTCATGCCATCTCAGGATTACATCATAGTGATGATTCGTTCAAAAACACTTCAAAAGGTCCAAAAGCAAATATCAGATATATTTGGGACATTCTTGGCCCCGAAAAAATATTTAGAAAATCTTTTTTTAAAAAAGTTTGAACACAGCAAAAATGGCTGCGAAGAATTCTTATTTTTGTATATGTATTATAATAGCTGTTTTCGTTTCAACAGCAGCGGAAGAAAGTGTCATCGAGACCCATCGAGATTAAAATAATTTACATTTCAAAACATCTTTAAACCACCCGGTGGATTCTACAGAGGCTATGATCTCAACAAAAAGTCCTGCTTTTTAAAATACCAAACTGACAGATACGTTCGCGAGTTCTTAGAGAATAATTTCAGGACAAGAAATGGAGCGTTAGAAAGATTTGAATTTTCCTGCTTGTTGTCATTTGCTGACCTATTAGGGCGGCTTTCACGAAAACAATCATTGGTCAAAAACCATCTGCTATTGTCTAGATACGTCACACAGTGAAGTGTCATGCAAATTCAACAACAATTCTGAATATCGTTTAACAATTAAAAATCCTGATTCGATTTTCTAATATATCACCGCTTCGAGATACACACGCGAAGAGCTTCAGTACAAATTCAATTCCTTCTGAACAGAAGAAGGTTTACGTTTTCTAAACCACGAGGAGGTTAACTCGTTCAAGGGGAGCGAATTTAATTATGACACTCATTTAGAGACGTTTTAAAGCGAAGGGAGGTTTCTAAACCTTCATCAATTAGCTGTATTGAAAACTGAAAACCCACCGGGGGAAAACGTTTTACAGTCTTCCGATATCACACTGACAATGAGCCTTGTACGGTTTCTTCGACTTCTATCGCGGCGAAAAGAGATCGACAATGATCTTTCGAGCTCTCCGCTTCGCCGATGCCTTAATATATTTGATTTAACTTCCATTGGAGTTGGCGCGACCGTAGGAGCGGGTTTGTATGTCGTTACAGGGCAGATCGCCAGAGATGTCGCCGGACCAGCTATCGTGTTGTCCTTCTTCATCGCTGGAGTGGCGGCTTTTCTTTCCGGGATTTGCTACGCGGAGTTCGGTTGTCGGATCACCAAAGCGGGCTCTGCGTACGTCTACATTTACTCTTCTCTGGGAGAAATATGGGCCTTCATAATTGGCTGGAACATGATTTTAGAATATGTGATCGGAACGGCTTCACTTGGCAGAGCAAGCAGTGAGTACATTGACTCCATTGTTGGTGGAGCTATTCGAAAGTTTATTATCGACAACATCGGACAGTTTCAAGCCTCCGGTTTGGGTTCATATCCCGACTTCCTGGCGTTTATTCTCGTTCTGTTAGTCTCCATGCTTGTCGCTACCGGAGCAAAGCACTCGGCTGTATTCAACAAGGCAGTGACTACCATAAACATGTTGGTGATCGTCTTCGTGATTGTTATAGGCTTGTTCCATGTCGACCCCAGCAACTGGGCCGGGGCTAACCAGTTTCTCCCATACGGTGTATCAGGAGTTCTAGCCGGGGCTGCCAGCTGTTTCTACTGCTTCGTCGGCTTTGATGTGATAGCGACGGCAAGCGAAGAAACGATAAATCCAAAGAGAGCCCTTCCTTTGGCGATCATGTTATGTCTCATCATCAGTTTCCTGGCGTACTTCGGCGTTGCTTCCATTTTAACTCTGATGGTGTCCTACGATAAGCTGGACAAGTTCGCACCGTTGCCAGAAGCTTTCAAGTCCGCAGGTGTTTCATGGGCTAAGTACGTGATAGCCGTCGGCGGGCTGTGTGCCTTGGCGGGATCTCTTATGAGCGGGATCTTTGCTGTTCCCCGTATAATGTATTCCATGGCAAGTGACGGGCTTCTCTTCAAGTTTTTCTCCAGGATTTACGAGCGTACAAATGTCCCCGTCATCTCGATCGCTTTTGCAGGTGTGTTGTCAGCAACCCTGGCGCTTTTTCTGGATTTACAGCAACTTGTCGAAATGCTGTCCATCGGTACCTTACTGGCCTACACTCTCGTCTCACTGTCGGTTCTTATCCTGAGGTTCCAACCAGGCGTTCAAGACGTCGAGTACGATGAAGAGACCTCGAGCTCGGTACGAAGCTACAGAGTTATATGTTGCCAGAGTATGCACCCTGAGTCTAAAGAAGCTGAATACAAACCCCTGGAAAGTGTCACAAACGACAAGAAACCAGACATCGAGGATGAGGAAGGACCAACCGACACTACAAGTCAAATCGCCGCGGCCGCTGTTGCTCTAATAGTCGTAGGACTAACCGGTTTCTGTGCTCTACTCATCGCGGGCTGGGACGCGCTCGGAGACCGAGATGCCTGGGCAATATTCACAGCGGTTCTTCTCGGGTTTCTCATCATTTTTGGTGTGGTAGTGATGCAGCTACAACCAAAGAACAATGCCCAATTTCCTTTCACTGTTCCGTGTATTCCTGTGTTGCCTATCGCCAGTGTTATCGTCAACCTGTTCCTTCTTCTAAAGCTAGCGAAATGGACTTGGGTACGATTCGGAGTCTGGATGGTCTTAGGTAAGGCACTGTTATATTTTCCTGTTTACAATTTGTTTGTTTTCTATTCAAAAAATATTTATATTATTATTTTTCGCTTTTTAATTTACCATGATAAATACCTATGTCGACCCCTATTTTATTTCTTTTACTCAGTGAAAGAGCAACAACCGTGCACTTTTCCATCGTTTCTTTTGAATCCTTGGTAGTAGGTTCAGTTAACCTCAGTCCGAAATAAAATGTATTCCTTCATCTATCACTTCATTATCAGCAAACAATAGTCAGTAGTGCCAATGAGTCATAGATACAGTAAAGTAGGCAGGGGAATTCATTTTATCTTTGTTTTGTGTTTTATTCCGGAATATTCAAGGACGTTGTCCAAAAACTTTCAAAAAACAATGAAGAACTGTGTGTAACTTCGTAAATACGATTTGTCCTCGAGAAATATAGTCTTTTGACTGACCATATGCTGGCTTGAAAGATAAATTTATTATTCATAAAAACTGAGACGGAAGATGCATTACACGAATACTGATTACATGCCCACAGTTGCGTATAATTATTGCGGAATTGTTGCGTTGTACATTTAGTCACCTCTCTTTTAAGCTTTTTTAAAACGGGTTAGTTTATAATACTTAGCGAGAGAAAAAAAATTACTTTTGGGGTCAGATATTAAATTAAATAATTCAGTTTGTTCGAGGCGGCTGTGACTAAGAAAAGAGAGAAGGTAGCAGACCCTCTCGAATGAACAGCATTAACTTTATTCTTTATAATATTATGAAATATCGATCTCAAAATAAATTCGATCAGGCGCCTAATTTTCGGTTGGTTTTCTACGTCTTTTGGTTGCTATTCCTGTTTTCCTTTTTTTAAAATATTCCTCTCAGTACCAAGGGTGGGAAGAGCAAACGGAATAATTTATTTCCATCATCTGGAGTTAATTATACAGTGTTTTTATGCGCCGCTAAAAGCACACTCATACTTTGTAACAGTGTTTAGTAGGTAAATTAACTAATTACGGAAAAATCCTTACAGCAAAAGCCGGAAAAACCAAAACTACCCTGAAAATATTCATGCTTATATGATTTCGAAAAGAAAATGCTAGCTCAACCTGTTTTTGTTGAGAGCTACAAAATTCAGTTTTCAGAAATAAAAACGAATTAATAATGCAAAAATCAACATTTACGTTTTTTATTTGTCTCGATGCGTAGCTTGTAATTAGTTAACATTCTAACGCGGGGTAAAATATCTCTTTGTGATTGCCAGCTGTATACCACGTTACTCCCCCGGGTTGACGCATTTCCTTTGAAACCATGGAAGCAACTTACGTGGACTAAATTCAGCGATAGAGGACTTTCTTAATGTAATAATTACGCTTTTGTCTTTCCTTTGAAATGTGTGAATTTTTATTTGCCGCCAAAAAAAAATTCCCTTTATGTAAAAAAAGAGGAAGACTCGGAGGGCATAAAAAGTTACCTTAGTAAATTTTGCGCTGTTTTTTTTTTTTCTTTCTTTCTTTTCATAGTCACGGTTTTCCTTTTTCGTCCATTCGAAAAAGCTCTCTCTACAAATCATGTTCAAGTAAGCAATACTCGCTAATTGGCGTTCTTCCGTTGTACGTAGAATCAAATGCTAGCTTGACCAACTAAACTAAAAGTTTAAAACTAGTTTTCAAATTTGTAGTCTGGTGCTAATAAAATCTTTCTGATCACTGGGACGACTAAGACTTTTTATATTTGTCTTCCTTTGCTTTCCACATCTAATCAATAAGGTTGGATGAGTTTAAGACAGAATGGCTTCTTTTATATTTCCATGGTCAGTTTAGATCGAACCGTCCTTCCGCGTGTCTTTTTTTTTTTTGCCAACCAATATGACTTAATATTCGCCCCTGCGCTAAAGTGAGATATTTTAAGTTTTTCTTTTATTTTTATTGTACATTGATCGTCAGAAGGACAGGTGTTTTTAAAAAAGGATTTGGCATCAACATCACGCGCGTTCCACTCGCGTGTGCATCGCGTAACTACTTGATTTAAAATTATATGAACAATTTTCCAACTATTAAAGCCTTTTACTGCCTCTCTTGCCTTTTTTTACTAGATACGTAAAGAAACTACATCTTTTAGTCCGTCTAATTTTCACTCCCAATTGGAACTGTAAATTAAAAGGCATGTTTTCAGTCCTGCTAAGACTTATTCACTTCAGTGGTGGTTTCCTGGAACACTTTTTATTTTATATTGCATTTATATCGTACGCTTGTGTGGTCGAAAGCTCTTTTTAAGGAAAGTATTCTTTTTTTAGCTGAATCACGTTCTGTCCCACAATTTGGACCACACAGATTTGTTTTTTGGAAAGGAAATTCTGGCGATAATATTGTTTAGCGAATCTTTTTCTTCCGATACTGAGCCGGAAAAAATGAAGTATCTCACATGAAATGAAGTCTCAAAAAATGTGATTTTTTTGGCCTTTTGTGCCCTGCGTCTGACCGACTGTGCTAATTACTTTATTCTTTATTTTGACTCCTGTATGTGGTGTGTTTAAATACTATACTTGGTTTAAATTTAATTTAAGATCTGTTTAAGCCCTTTCGGTGAGAAAAAATAGAATCCTATTTTTTAATCGAATTTCAGGATCCCTTAATCAGCGCCAATACAGTCCAATTACCTAGGGCTGTTTGGACCCAAGGGCTGAAATGGGCCCCAGTGTGGTCTGGAATAGCTTTGATGGGGCTGTTTTGGCTTAAATGGTGCTCAAATGGCTCCAGGAGGGGCTGAATCAGACTTTGGCCTGCAGGGCTGAATTGGCACCTTGGGTCTTAAACATATTTTTTTAAGTTCCATTGTGGGAAAAGAAAAGGGATCGAAAATTGGAAGGGCGGGTAAAGGTTTCTGTGGAGAGTCTGGATAAAATCAAAATTTAGAACTAAAACAGATAGCCTCTTCAGAACAGTCGGAAGACAAAAAAACATCTAACTTGAGCGGCTATAAATCGTGATCTTGCGTCCCGCCCACGCTAAACATCCAATCGAAAACGTAACGGGGGTTTCGAAAACACTCCAAAAAATCTTTGTTTGCGTTTTAGACAGCTGGTGTCAACAATCAAAACCCATTCGAGAAGGCTGATATGGACGCAGAGCTTTCGTTAGGTCTTGATAACACAAACATCTGAGTTTCTTAAAACGCATTAGTGTTGATGCTGTTTATGTTTCACCATTGTCATACGAAAGCAGCAAAGGACAGCAAGTAGCTTCATCAATTCAGTAACACGATGTTTTTTTTTATCAAAACTAGGACATTTTCTGAAGTGCCAATGTGAGAACGTCTGTAAAAATATTTTGCCCTGAAAGCAGTGAACCTAAACGAATTGTGGTTAAAAGGCGTGACATTTAAAATGGCGATAATTTAGAAAGTGTGTATTATTGTACGTTTCGTTGTTTAGAAGTAACTTTCCCGCAACAAAACTGAGACTTTTTTTTCAAATCATTTAGCTTCCTCTTTTTAATTAATGACGTTGCGTTCAACAAAATGAACTGGTATTTACGTTTTTTTTTAAATTTGGCAGACCAAAGTGTAGTGTTGAAGTCCATGTGTTGCAATAAACAAAATTAAGCGTAAATGTGTACCTACGGGCCAATACAATGTTTTTCATTCTTTTCTCTTGTTGTTGCTGCTGCTGTTGTTGTTTCGTTTTTCTTCCAACTTCCTTATGCAGTAAGATTGTAAAGCGGGAGGGGAGGCAAGGGGAGTCAACTGGGGAATGACATACTGGAGTTGAATGAAAAAATTTCCCACTGTAATACTCGGATTCGCCCCCTTTGCTTCCTTGACTCTAACCCCCACCTCCCTTCGCCCACCCTTATTCCTTTGTGTTTTCTTAGTCGCGTTTTCTTATCGTCCTTCTCCGTTCTTGTTTTCTCATAGGATTTGTCATCTACTTTGGTTATGGGATTAGACACAGCAGGGAAGGAAGCACGAAACAGGACTCAAATGACAACGATTTCATCCTACAAGGCACTCCAGATATCGGGCAGGATGTAAAGACAGTTCAACCTACGAACACACCAGAAGACAAGAAACCTTTGCTATCGAGCAGCGAAGTACAGTAAAACGTGTAACGTAAATATTTTAACTATCCATTGCCTTTCTAGGCGTGACAAATTAATATAACATTTGTAAAATTTCTTTAAAGTAATTTATGGGGTTCTTGACCTCGTCGAATTTTTATTTTTTCTCTTTTCTTTCGCTAACGAAAGCAAAAGAAGATTTCGTGTTAAGAAATTGATCACAGTCTCGTCAACTTCTTTTAAAACTGATCGATCTTTTTTGGAAGGCTGTATTCTTTCATTCTTCTTAGCGTGATTTCCGCTGAACAGGAAGTCAACGTCAACGGTTTAGTTCATTTTGGGGAGAAAATCGCTGTAACAGTTATAATATTTTGCAATGGCAAGTCTACTGGTTATAACAGCGAGAAAATATACAAAAAAGACGTGAAAAAGATAATTGTGTACGTCGTGGTTAAGTTTTATCCTTGGTTTACATTTGAAACAAAGGAAATAGAGGATATTACACGGTGGTGCGAAGATATGAATTTTATTTTCGAGTGGCAAAACAATATTTTACGAACGAGCGCAGCGAGTGAGTAAGATATTGTTTTTGCCTCGAGAGAATAAAATTCATATCTTCAAGCCGCCGTGTAATGTTCTTTTTATTATATAGACAGAAAGACATCGATAAAATAATAGATTTTTATTCGCCAAAAAGTAATTGTGACGGCTCAAATTTACAGTAAAGCAATATAAGACATTGTTTACGATAATCTTGAGAAATAACACTGAGTTGAATGGGGCTCTACACTGACAAAATGTAAGCAAAGCTTTGAAAAATGTGTAATTAAAATTCAAAGGACGCAAGACGCCTACAAATTTTGGAGGGAAATTACTGAAATTGCGTCATCGATAAACTCACTTGTGAGATTATGGAAAATAAACCACTCGGTCCCGGATGTAGTTTTTATGAATTTTACGAGTGGTATATTTTCCAGTAAAACGCTCATGTCTATATAATAAAATAATATATTTAACCAAGGATAAAATTGAATCAAAACACATATAAGCACCACACCTTTCTTAGATTTTCCAGAAGCAATTTTTCGCCCAATGTAAGGTGCCTGTGGACTCCGGAATGCAGGAAAATTTTGCTTATGTAATCCAAAATCCAGGAATTGGAATCCGGAATACAGCTCAAGGAATCTGGAATCGCACTGACGATTGGAATCCAGAATCCAAGTTCTACTGACAAAAACTGGAATTGAGTACCTGGAATCCGGAATCCACTCTGTGGAATCCACAATCCAAGACTGTCTTGGATTCCCTTAAATGGAGAGAAATTTTACTTCACAAGCCGCATCAATCAATCCCTGAATTAGCCATATACAAGTTAAAAATGAAGTTGACTGTGTCGTTTGAGGTATGCTGTGTTCACTTTTAAAGTTCAAATTCATTTATTAAGATGATATATCCTGAGTTTTCGTTTAGAGTTTGCGGATCGCAAGAGCGCCTGTGGATTTATTAATGAGATTTGAATTGAGTTGTGCTGCAAAGTACTCTATTTATTAATATTTTTATATAATATTTTTCAACGATTTCGTTAGTAGTACACGCGGACCACTAAAAGTGACTTTTTGGTTTTGTTTACTTGGTTTAAAACGAACTCGCTTATAACTTTAACGAAAGTGTAACAAGACATTCCTGACGGTCCCCCTTTAAATATATACTTATTGATAATTTATTTGTAATGTAGTGTTGTGTGTTTAAAAATTAGAGAAAGCCTTACGTCTAGGTATACTTCATGCTGGCTCTCACATATATCCAGAAAATACAAAAAATTTTATTTTACTACTAAGCAACAGTGACAAATAAACCATTTCACTCCTGTCAGTAGGCAAAGTGAAAAGTCTCGAAAAAATTCCAATTTTCTTTTAGTCAAATCCTAAGAAATAAATAGAACTATGCAATTGTTCTACTCCTCAATGTGAATGGTAACACCTTACTATTTCCTCCGATTTTCAAAAGTTAGAATAACGGATAATTTCGCCATAACTAGAAGGTCTTACTGTGAAAGTGTTAAGTCAGTTGCAATTGCGAAATTGCATTGTTTCACCAACAAATTTCTCAGCTGGTTCTGAGAAGATCAATTAACGTTGAGATCGCACCAAACAATATGGAGCTTAAGCAACAAAGACTGCGACGGCTACGAAAACGTCACTTAATAAAAAGTTTGTTCGCTTATTCCATCTCGTTTCATTCGACAAATGTCAGAATCTTTTTTGGTGTTGAATTCTAAAGGACTGTACTCAAGTTCAGGAAACGAAAAAGAAAGTTGTCGTCGAATGTTCCCGTCCTCGACAAAACGTGACACCTTGTAGTCGTGCAACCCGTACCACTGCTAAGAAATGCAGGAAAATCGTGACTATGCACGTGCATAGTTGTTGTTTTGCTTACACATGTATACAGTTATTGCTTTTTTGCCGTTCTCGTTGCCGCCTCCGTCGTCGTTGCTTAAGCTCCCCAATGTCGCGTTATTTGCCCAATTTATTTTCAAAATAACATTAGCTTAGCTTTGTGGAATTCATCCGGTAAAATTAAGGTAATTTGAACCTAACTACTTTTCTGTTTTTTATTTTTCTTTTCGAACGAGGGTAAACGGGGAGCACGCATTATATGGCTCCGAAGGAAACAGCTGAATCCCCTATCGTGCTACTGACCTAACTGTAAATGTCACAGGAACAGTCTGACGACTATATCGCGATTTAATTTTAGTGGCATTATTTTAAAAAAGTAAAATTAAAATATTACTGTATGCCCTCCTTGATGTCGGATTTAAGGGCATTTGACAAATAAATAAACTTGAATTGAAGCAAGAATGCGGAAGTATATGCTTGTGTTCTTAGTCAAATGGTTTATATATCTCTTCTGCGGATGCCTGTGTACACGTCTTTAGTGGGAGACTGGGAAAAAGAATCGTAAAGCGCGGGGCATGATAGGATCGGAAGGGAAAAGAGGAACGGTCGCATCAAGGCCTCCCGCCTTTTCCCGCCCTTCCCATCACTAATGTCCAGGCTCCTGCTGTCGAAGAGAACTCGAACAGATATTGCCGCAGGACAAGGAAGTTAGTGTGTGTGTGTGTTTTTTTTTTAACCGGGATTCAGACAATGCTGTTGTCATTTTCTGACTTAACAGAGTTTGCCCACAAGTGAATTTCCTCGACACTGTCACGTGCCTTTTTTAGCGCACCAATTTTTCGTTCACAGTACTCTTCAACTGGTCCAAAGATGAGGGAATCTGGTACCTTTAACCTATAAGGCACTATTAACGCATGCTCCAGTGGGATCGGGATAAGCATTTAGAAACAGCTGAATTGGGATAAGGGGACTGTTGAACAGTCTTGGTCGGGATGGCGTGTGTAGATACACTATTAAGGACGCCTAGAAATAGCACGCAAGTCTG